GGCATTCGAATGCGCAGCAACAAAGACGAGGCCAGACCGGGAACCGTGAATTTAACCACCTTTTCGTTAATTTGCCCGCTCAGCGTATTGTGATGTATGGAATTCACTATCTCTAATGCAGTAATAGGACCGACCAAGCAGGATATAGAACCCACCAGATGCCTACCAGACATACACTTAATAAATAGAGATTTTTGACCCGATTGTAAAACACCCGACGGCCTCTGGAGGTTTTAAAACCACGACAGCAAGGTCCAGTGTGTTGGGTCGTGTTTTCGCCTTTAACAATTGTTGTTTTCGCTTCATAATGTCCTTCAACAACTTTTAAACAATACCAATGCAACCAGTAGCTGTTTTAATTGCCTCGATATCTTACATCCTCTGATACAGCGACCTTTTCGAGGAATATATGCATTTCATTTGTTCTATGACCAGCCTCACTCCCTATCTCTGATGCCTTTTTTGCTTACTTTAGCGTTCAAATGAGACCTCAGCCAGTGGACTCCTGGTTTCCATTCATACCTCCAAGGGTCCAACCTTGGCTGTCAGTGTTCTGGCCTTCTCCATTCTAAAAATGCTCAGCCTATCGAGCATTTTGCTTGCTGTGGTCATCGTCATGCGCAATTATGAAGACTTGTAAGTGACCCGTAAAGTGCTCATTTAAGGCGAACAAAAATACTGCACTTTAACGCATGTTTGGGTTGAAAGGAGCAGCAGGGGGAGGGAGGAGACGAATAAAGGGTCAGAAGCCTCATAGGTCAAGACCACGCAGATCTCTATTGGTTGAGATTGTGCTCTTTTTTAAAAAAAACAATACGTTTGTGATGTCAGTAATTGTGCGCTTGTGTCAGTAGTTATGCGCTTCTGCGCTCATACGGTCGCTGGGGCTCGGGACACAGAACAGAGAGCGATGTAGACGTCTCAGCGCACTGCCCTCACTTGGAGCTATCACAGGGCCCTAGAAGCCGTGCCTTGGATGGTTGCCAGCTGAAGGGATAACTCGGACCGGGTGGTCAGTCCAACGTGTTTGTTCCGAATGACTGACTGGCGGACTGAGCGTCAGGCTGCAATGACTGCTACTTAATGTGGCCTTTGGTGCAGGCAGGGGCTTTGCGCCTTTTGCGAGACCTTTTGCCTAACAAAACGACGCTGACAGTCGTTGATAAACATTCACCGACTACTAGCGGAACGCACTTGCTCCTCTATTACTGACTGACGACGGCTAATAAGCCAGAAATGGCTATTCCAGTCTCCTTTGTCTTTGCCGCCAATATTATCTACAGAAAGATGTTGATGTTCCATAAGGAATGTTTGTCTCAGTTGTTTTTCTTTTATTGTAGCACAATAGGATATAGTTTTTTTTTGCATGAATTTTTCCACGTTTTCGCTTGTGTATTCCCAATCTAATGCAATTATTCCTGCGCTGTGTGCTTTAAGCTTTGGCACTCGAATAAGGAATGAAGGACATCTGCTACATTTTTCCTACCGTTTGACCAAAGTTTTATCACGTAATTACAGCAATTACTTTAATTAATCGCTGGCCAGCCAGGAACGTTGTCATACCAGTGCAAAAAATGCCATCTCTAACGGATAAACGCTCACCAACCGATAACTACCCATGGCTCCCCGGATAGAGCGTGGGACTTCTAACCGACAGTCTTGGAGTTCAAGGGTCGGTTGGTTCACCCCCCCAGGGTTGCGAACGGCTGGCTGATGATGGTTAATAAGTACGAAGCTGTCATTTCAGTCTTCTTTGTCTTTCTAGTTGACCCAACTGTGAAAAAACTCGCGGCATTTGGCGGGATTTGAACCCGCATAGTAGGGAAGACCTTAACCGGAAGCCAATGCTCTACAATTAAGCTACAAATGCCACGCTTCACACCGTGAGTTTAATCACACTTGGATCGATTTTACCCACCCAACGTCGCCGCTCGTATGGAATCCATCAATACGGGACATCAAGTTGACTACCCGAGCAGGATTTCCCAAGCAATCATCTAGAATCCACCAGAATGACTACTAGGCT